TTAAGTTAATGAACGAGTTTTCCTCTAAAAAGACCCAATACCCAAACATAACAGTGGCGACGAGGATAAAAGAATAAGAAACGCAAAGTTTATAGTGGAAAATTTCGTTATTTTCGCCGGTGCACGTGGACGGCATCGGTGCGTAGAAGAAAAATGGCTGCCGTAGCTTCACTTGAATTCTACGAATTTAACTCCGAACACGAAGATTGGTTAATATATTCGGAGAGACTCGAGCAAAATTTCGTCGCAAATGCAATAACGGAGGAGAAAATAAAAATTGCAGTGCTTTTGTCATCAGTCAGCGCAACGACGTATTCGTTGATCAAAGACATGGGCTACCCGGACCTACCTCAAAGTAAAACTTTCACGCAATTGTCGGAAATAATGAAAACTCACTTCTCTAAGGTCAGCAGTGTATGGAGAGAAAGAGCAACTTTTTACGAGTTGAAGCAAAGCGAACTAAGTCTCTCGGAGTGGTATGCAAAAATACGGGGAGCCGCAGCGAAATGCAAATTTGGCACGAGTCTTCAAGGAGTGCTAAAGGATAAATTTGTCACTGGGCCCATGGGGAAAAATCGTCTAAAGACGATCGTCTTTAGACGCGAATTCGTCCAATCGTCTTTCAGCCGGCTCAATCCAGGAAAAGTGCTTGACAGGTTATGCGAAGAAGCGGAAACTGTAAGCCTTGAAGAATTATTTTCCTTGGCAGTAGAGAAGGAAAGTATGTCCAAAGTCGAAGTTTTCCAAATTTCAAGACGACAGCCCGTGAGAGGAACCGAGAGGGGAGGACATCGACAGGCGCAAACGCTAGCGCCGCCACAACGTCATCACCATCCCAACAACGTGGTGGAACGCGCAGGTCCAGGAAAGATGGCGACGAACAAGAAAAGCAGTCAACATCAGAGTCATAAACAACAGCAAAGTTTAGAATCAGGTAACAATTTTCCTATTTGTGTGCATTGTGGCAGTAAACATCACAACAAAGTGTGTTTTTACAAGAACTATAGATGCAACGCATGTCGAAAAGTGGGTCATTTAGCAAATGTATGCAATAACAAAAGTGTAAATTTTGTAAACAATAGGAACAATTCGGATTTAGATATAGTAGATCTTTTTTATAATGATTTACGTCAGAGCAAAAAAGTTTTAAATGTATGTTGTATTGAAGATTTCAATGTTGAAATAAAAATAAACAATGTTTTAATAAAATGCTTGTGTGATAGTGGTTCGGGTATTTCGGCCATAAATAAAGGCACTTACCTAAAATATTTTTCAAATTGTAGATTGGAGCAAGATAATACTGTGTTAAGAGGATATAATGGTAGCATGTTTAAACCCAATGGTCATTTTATTCACCAGGCAGTGTAAGTTCTTTGTTGTCAGCAATGGGGGAATAAATATCGTAGGTAGAGACTGGCTGGCAAAATTTAAGGTAAAATTGAAATTTATTAATGTAGTTAATGAAAGTTCAAACAATGACGTAGACAAAATTTGTTCAAAATATAAACTTATATACGATGATAGATTAGGCAAATACAAGCAAGCATGCAAAAATAAGTTTAGGAATACTAGCAAATGCCAAGCCCGTTTTTTGTAAACATAGATCTGTACCCTTAGCCTTTCGTGAAGCGGTCGACACTGAACTGAAGAAACTCGAAGACGAAGGTGTGATTTCACCGATTAAGCATAGTGAATGGGCCACTCCTTTGGTGGTGGTCATAAAGGCAGATCAGTCAATAAGAATATGTGGTGATTATAAAATAACATTAAATAGGTTTTTAGATCCCATTGACTACCCATTGCCTAGGATCGAAGAAGTATTCTCAAAACTGAACAATGGAAAATATTTCTCAAAGCTAGATTTGAAGTCAGCATATAACCAAATTGAGATGTCTGAGGAATCAGCTAGGTTATTAGCAATAACGACCCATAAAGGGATTTTCAAGTTAAATAGGATGCCCTTTGGGATAAAAGTTGCAACAAGCATTTTCCAAAGGATCATAGAACAAACACTTCAAGGGATTGACGGTGTTGCCAGTTTTCTAGATGATATAGTGATTTCGGGAGCAACTAAAGAAGAACACAATCAAAACTTAGAAAAGGTTTTCATTCGATTACAAGAAGCTGGTTTCACACTAAAAAGAGAAAAATGCAAGATTTTTGAAAAAGAAATTTCATATTTGGGGTTTAAAATAAATGAAGAGGGTCTAAAAAAGGTTGATAGCAAGATAAAAGCAATCACAGACGCAGAAAGGCCTACTAACATCACAGAAGTTAGGAGTTTTATTGGACTTGTGACGTATTATGCCAAGTTTGTCCCAAGGATATCTGAAATATTGAACCCCATCTACAAATTGTTAAAACAAGGGGAGAAATTTGAATGGGCAAAAGAGTGCGAAGAGGCTTTTCAAGAAATTAAGCAATTAATAGCTCAAGACATAACGCTTGTTCACTTCAATCCCAAGTTCCCAATAATTGTAACAACAGATGCAAGCAAACAATGCGTAAGTGGGGTACTTAGCCACGAAATGGCAGGCAAAGAAAGAGTGGTGACCTGTGTATCCAGAACACTAACATCAGCTGAAAAAAATTACTCCACTGTCCAATTAGAGGCATTGGCAATCTATTTTGCAGTAAACAAATTTTACCAATATCTGTGTGGTAACAAGTTCATATTAAAAACTGATCACAAACCTTTGATAACAATCTTTGGAGAGCATAAAGGGATTCCACAGACTGCAACAAATAGGCTTCAGAGGTGGGCAACGTTCCTGTCGATGTTTGACTACGAAATCAAACATATTAAAGGTTGTAACAACCCAATAGCTGATTTTCTGTCAAGGAGACCTATTAAAATCATATCAAGCAACGTGGCTCCTTGTTCATATATAAATTTCACGGAGAAAGTTTCATCTTGGCCAATAAACAATGACGAAGTAAGGTACCAAACAAGCAAGGACAAATTACTAAGAAAAATAGCATCATTCATAGAAGAAAAGAACTGGCCAAAACAAATAACCAAAGAGGTTAAATCATTTTACCAAAGAAGGCAAGATTTGACGATAGAAGACGGTATATTATTATTTGGACATAGGTTAATCATCCCGAAGATTTTACAAGATAGTATCTTGTCAGAGCTTCATACTGCTCATTTTGGAATAGCAAGGGCAAAGGCTTTGGCTCGTTCTTGGGTATATTGGCCCGAAATAGACCAACAAATAGAAGAATTTATAAAGTCGTGTGCATTATGCAAAGAAAATAAGCAAGACCCACCCAAAAGTTTGTTAACACCTTGGACTTTAACAGAAATACCTTTTGAACGAATCCATGTCGATTTTTGTGGACCTATACATTCAAAAATGTTTTTAATAATCTTGGATTCTTTCTCAAAATGGGTAGAGGTCCACGAAATGTCAAACACAACGGCAGAAAAGACCGAAGAGGCACTACGAGAAACTTTTGCCAGGTTTGGTTTGCCGGACACTGTGGTGAGTGACAATGGGCCGCAGTTAATTTCAACAAACTTATCCACATTTTTCACAAAAAATGGTATAAATCATGTGACAATCCCTCCATATCACCCCCAAAGTAACGGAGCGGCAGAAAATATGGTAAAGACTTTTAAAAACAAGTTAAAAACGGCTTTTCAAGATGAAAGAAACAAAAACCTAAGCTCAAAAACCATTATTTCAAGATTTTTGTTCGTTTATCGAAATTCCCAGCATTCTACAATGGGAAAAACCCCATTTGAATTGATTTTCAATGAAAGAAAAGCAAGAACCAGGTTATCACAACTGACAGAAGGGGCGAGGACGGTAAACGAAGCCAACGATTCAACAAAACAACGAAAAATCCAAGAAGGGGAGGAGGTATACATTCGACAATATACCGTGAACAACAAAAGTTGGGTAAGAGCGAAGGTCCTGACACAATTAGGGAGATCCGTGTATCTGTGCAAAATGGAACCACAAAAAGTAGTTAAAAGACACACAGATCAAATACAAAAGTTTTGCGTTAGGAAAGGGGTACACGATAACATTAATGAGCATCTTTCGGTTTCAGATATAGGCAAACAAAGTGATTATTTTATTAATATGCCCAGCATAGCACCAAATAAACCCCACATTCCTGACAACAATGAGCTTACACAAGCCTCATTGCAAAATGCTGACACTAACTCTAAAATTGTATGTTTAAATCCCACTAATATAAGTTGTTCTAGGGAAACCCTGAAAGTGTCGAATCACCTATTGCAGGAGAACCTACCTCTAAAGCAACCAACTCCACTGCCAAACCTCAAGGGGAAAGTAAACCCACATCAGGCCCAGGATCGTCTGGTAGAGTCAGAAAGAAGCCTGTGTGGCTAGACACGTACGTTTCACGTTAAATTGGTAAAGTAGCGATCCTGTCAGATGTAGATTTGCAAAAATACAAATTTCCGAAAAGTTCTTCTGTTCCCTTTTTTTGGCAAAGGGGTTGCTTGCTGGTAAAACTGTGATAAATAAGTTTAGAGATGTCCACAAGGATGCTATAAATGTGATACGAATTATATTTTATGTGTTTTATGTATAAATAGGGTAAGGGTGTTGTAAAGCCCTCAAATAAATTAAATTGTGTTGTATCACCTTATAGAGCATGCGCCAACAGGTGGCAGTTGCAAACCGAATTGTACTTCCTCGCTCTCGACTGTAAACCGCGTAGCTGAACAGACGTGTTTAACTATCGCAACAAACGAAATATAAGTGTTAAGTTAATGAACGAGTTTTCCTCTAAAAAGACCCAATACCCAAACATAACAAAAACCAATTTCTGCTTTATATCGCGCCCAATTAAGTCCAATTCAGACCCATTGATACCAACCAATACTTCAATTGGTTTCTACAGGAATTAATCGGTCATTTACAATAGGGAATTTAAAATATTTAAAAAAAAAAACAAATTTCAATGTCTAAGAAAATGTTTAGTATGTTCTTGTTTTAAATTAGTCCTGTATAACTTACCAAGATATGCCTTTAGCATCTACTTCCTTTTCAACCAATTGTTTCCAAAACTTATGAACCTACAATAACAGAATTGTCATTTAAATGAATATAAAAATCAATATGTGAATTGCTCCTTGCAATACTATATGCAATATTATACTACTTCAAATGAGGAGCATCCGTGCAAAACCGGCTATATCCACTTTAATAAAATGTTGGGAAAATGGCAAAAACTCTCGGTTTCCTGGCCTTTACAGATAAAAGAAAAAGCAAACTTGAGTTTTGTGGGCTTTGTGGTACTTGATTTATAAGATATACTTTCATTTTAAAAACTTTATATTAAGGCCAAAATTTCAAAAAATGTTTTGTATATAGCAACAACAAATATGAGTAGTAGTATCGACATATCCAAGCCACATGCTCATCATCATTATTATTTATTGGATATAGCCGGGTTTGCTATAAAAACGTGGATTTGGCCGGTTTTGCTCCTAAAGCTACCTTTTAAATGTGATTTTAACATGGATATATTCGGATTTAAACAGAATTATCTTGGTTGTCGATAGAAATGAACCCAAAGATGCGAAATCAGAAAAAAAACAAAAACTGAATAAAATGGATTTAGCCGGTTTTGCACGGATGCTCCTCAAATATACCAAACAAATTTCATATAAATTTAATTTAATTCATATAGCATACAAATAACTATTTTAAATTTCTTAACAATACCTGTTCTTAAAAACATTTAGTTTACGTTAATGTGTTGGGAGTTTTTACTTTTAATATTTTACCATGTAGCCCTATCTTTCTCTGAATAAAAATGTTAAACAAATTTAATTTTTGTAATACTTATAATACAATAAATAAAGGTCGCAAAATATTTTTACACTGGTGGATATAGAATGTATACACAGGGTTCCCCATAATAGACTACCCATTTTATTTTATTAATAAATTCCCTACGAGATAACTAAATAAGTTGTTCTCTATGGGAATATCTTCTATAGTCTTTGGGATTTAAGTTAATTATTAATCAAGTAGGAGCCTGTCACAAATAAGTTTTAAATTAATAATTTCCTGGAACGTCATTTTTTCTATGAGAAGTTTGTTAGTTTTCATCAATAATTATTTAAGTTATTTAATTTTTTTGCTTTGAGACATTATTTCAACATCCGTTTGAACTTTCATGGATTACTCAGTCCAACAACGTGTGTTTTGTGTAGAAACTTACATAAGAAGCAATTCGATAGAAGAATTCTAACTTAAGTTATCTAATATTGAAAAATGTGTTGAAGTTGATGGAGGTCATTTAGAAGACGTGATTTTTAAAAGTTAGAATTAAATTAGCCAAATATTTATAAGTTATCATAAATCCCAAAGAGTTAGCTGTAATTTAGTATAATAAAAAGTTTGTTTTGTTAACTAAAAAATTTTTAATTCAAATTTTAAAATGGGTAGCCTATTATGGGGAACCCTGTATAACCAAATTTATGAAAAACAACTAAAACTAATTCTAATTTCAACATGCATGCAGTTGTATAAAAATTGGTTGACAATAAGTATCGTTTTTGCTCATTGCTATATTTACTGCATTTACTGAATATGCCATCGTGCCAAACCGGGGAGGGGCGCGCTTTCCTTGGGGAGCGTGTAATGTTAAGACTAAAAATTCTGTTAATGAATAAAAATTCAGAAAATTTAGAAAAAAACATTTTGAAAAGTTAATTCCTAATTAATAGGTATTAATTATTTTAAAGCATTTGATATTTGAATTTTCAATTTAGGAATTGGTGAGGCCCGAATGTTTTACATTTTACCGCATAATTTCGGGTTTGCGCATGGTATCTAGGTGATAAAGAAGAAGCAATGTTTTCTCATATTACGGAATATGACCGTTCTAATATCACTTTTTAATGTGGAATTAGATATACTCTTTAAAGTGTTACAGAATGAATTGTTCTATCACCGGATGACGGAATAAACACTAATTGCGAAATCTCTGTGTTTATTATCTAACAACTTTTAGACCGATCTTACCTCACTTTCTTCCAATAATATTATTTTTCTATGGTATTTTTTAAAAACGTAGAAAAAGTATAGTCTGAAACACATTTGGAATTGCATATTCCGATCTCGTAAAACCGTCACGTGTGACAAACTTTTCACTCGAGCGGAATATTAAAGTATTCCAAACTTATTAATAACGCGTATGAAAAAACAAAATGTTTAAAATAGATAGGGCTACAGTAAAATTTTAATTGACATGCGTTGTAACTGCTGATACATACCACAGGGTGTCACAAATTTCGGAGAAAAAATAGTCTTAATTTTGCACCCTGTATATGCTCAAATTAAAATCTGAATAAAAATGTATATTATAGCATCGTTACTAAAGTCAACCAACAGTTTAAAAAAAATCATAGGCGGTTCGCGATAAAATCATACGAACACTTTATTCGGGGAGGTGGATTTAAAACAGTGTATCTTCGTTAATAACAAAAATAATAAGGTAAAGAATAAAACAAACTGTTTAGAAAAGATAGGACTACAGTATGATTTTAATTGACAAGCTAGTATTGCTGAGGCACCCCAAAGGAAGTCACAAATTTCAGGAAAAAAACTTATTTTTACTTTTGTACCCTGAATATGCTAAAATAATAGTTATTTATGTATCAAGGCAGTAAAGTCGTATTTTTTATAACCACGTGAGTGATAAAAAATTACTTTAATGCCGAGGTGCATATTAAATTTTATCCGAAATAACATTTATTAATACTAATAATTAATATTGATGATTAAATCAAATGTCATTTGAATGTAAGTGACTACATATACTGTTTGTTGCGACGGTTATTATATATTTACCCGCCGCGGCGATTTTTGAATCTAATTAATAAAATTAACTTATTATTTTTATTTATAGATGGCAGATGCTCGAGCGCTTTGCAAAGCTATTAATTTATAACCCCGCTTTTTAGTTTTGGCGCCAAATTCAAATATCGAGCACTTTGGTAAATGCTCGAGCATTTATTTATAAGCGCTTGAGCATTTAAGAACATTTATGAGCAATTATGAGCGGTTTTGAAAGTGCTCATCCTTCTCTATTTTTATTAAACAGCATTTTATAAAAGGGTCCAATCGACCTCCGCGACGGTGCTTTTTTAAAAATATTATTTAGTTGCTGCTGAGGAGCAGTAGACACATCTTAAAATGTGTAATGGGTTGCATACAGTACTCGTATTACCTTACTGCCGATTGTTGACTACTTTACTGCTACTACTACTATAAATGTAACTTTACAGAAGAGTCAACCTTCATTAAAAAAAATCACCAAAATCAGATGATCAGTTCCCTGGTAATAAGAGGGTAAACTGTGTGGTATCAAATTACAGAAAATTATAAAATTTATAAATTACAGAAAAATCTAAATGTGCAAAATACGTTTTTTTTTAAGCCGCGTTGACTATACAGTGTGGTATTAAATTACAAAACATTTCATGCTAAAAAAGATTATGACGTTTGTTTTAATAAATGAAAATAAATAACACTAAAAGTCTAAAAAAAATATTTGGACCAATCGGGTAGTTTCAAACTAGCTTATTACAAAATCTGTATTTGTACCAATACCCAAGGGGTGGTCCACAAGGGGTTAAAATTGGGAGAAACTATGGTTAGGTTTTTATAAGAGATGTCATATGTAGTTTATTTATTTTAAATTTTTTTTTATTATTATTGACCTCTTCCAAGAAATTAAAAATGGCAAAAAGGAACTGTATCTTGTGCACTGAAAGTGAAAAAAGTTTGTAAGGTTGTGTACTAAAGGTATACAAGGTTTTATTAGTGCAAGTTGATAATGAACCATATTGGCAAATCTCCAGAAATCGGGAATCGCGATAAAAAAAAATTTACTGCTACCGTTATTAAAATTGATTCAAATATGTTGCAAGTGTCTTCACCTAATAAAAAATCAAGAAAAAAAATTAAAATCCCCGTGTTTCTCAAAGTAGAAAACATTGTCTTATAGATATCTTGAATGAATGAATGTAATAAAAATGGAAAAGACACTTTTTTTCATTATTATTGCACAAAGTGTGTTTTTTATTATTATTTTTTATTATAATTTATTTTATTTTAACGGGTTTTAGGCGGTTATTCAAAGTTAGGGTAACTTGACAGCTTATTTTAATGAACCGGTTAACCGATAATTCGTTTTTTGTTCTAACTGTGCATCTCTACTTTAAATGCAAATATCTCAAAATAATTTAAAATACACTTATACTCCTTTTATTCTAAGGCCCTTTATTTATCTGGAGTGTGCTTACACCAAAAATGCATTTGCAAGCTGTAGAGCACATGCTACCTTTCTTGGCAGCTGCGAGGTACAATAACTATGTAAAATTTGCCAGGGTGTATCTACAACATATTAAAGAACTGGAAAAAACCATCTAGATGTTTATAGCTTGTTAAGTGCTGGTTATTTTACCCTTCGTAGATATAATAGATTGTGGGCTCGAATATGGGCATACCTTGATGCAACAAAAAGTCGAGGAGAAGAAGCATTTTTAAATTTCAAGACGACGGCCAAAAAACATTTTGTAAACTCAGGTTTTTCGGTAATTTATAATTTTCTGTTTTCCGCACACGATTTTTTATTATTTAAACAAAAATTAATATGACAGCCAGATTTTTTAAACTTTTAGTATAGATACAATAAATAATAAAGATACAATAACGAACTAAAAAATTCAAACCCCGTCTTTGTGGGAATTATTTCCACCTATCACCTATTTTTTGCATATATTTATACTTTTTAGTGAGTTTATAACTTTTAAAACCTCGTATGGCAAGACTTTATAAAAAGAGAAACTAATGATAATTATCATTAGAGGTACATTCCTGCAAGAAGAGTACTCACGTGAGTTTTGTTTGCTGCTATGGCGAAGTGATGGCCAAAAATAAAAGCAATTTTGGTAGCATCAAAAATATTTAATGTTTATGTTGTTTCTGTTTTGTATTTAACTGAGACTTTATGATATTCCATAGTGTATTTGACGAGATATTAATTTTATTAGCATATTTCTGTAAATCTTTTTTCTTTTGTTTATATGAATCATGTACTTATTAAAAGTAAAGTGCTTGGTTAGCTAATACAAATAGTACTATAATAAATAATAGTACTTTAAATCATCTGACGTAAGCCAGTTTGTTGTTGTTTTAACGTATGTTAGCTATTAAAAAATTATGAATAACAGTTAACTGTTGTACAATTGTTGTAAATTGTAATAAAGCTGGATTGTTAAATAAAATTTTGAAATTGTTCTTTTTGATAAAATTACATCCTAACTATCCTATAATCGCCAAAATAGCTAAATTTTATATCCCTTTCTCGATGACCTGTGCGAGAAAGGATTTTCGGTCTTAATAACAGGTTGGATGTTGCTAGTGACCCATTGTTTTTTGTGTGAAATAAAAAAATATAAACGATATTGCAGTAAAGTTCTTCAATGTCTAAATTATCAGGGGGCGTGAACATTTCTTGACATCAAAAAATGGGCTTCATAGGAAAAAGTCTGGGAACCACTTAGGTCTTAGGCCTAATATGTCCCAGTACTATTTTTTTGAGATAATCAATAAAACACAAAGTCGTGTAAATTTTATTTCTTTTAAAAATTAATAGCAACTTTGGAGAGCTGTAGTTTTGTTATTTTTTACCCAATTGCTAGAAAATTTAATATGGTTTAATGAAAATGTAAATAACTTAAAAAATAAATATGCTCCAGTACTAATTTTTGCAGAAAAAATATAGTCCTGTTAATTTACCTTTTTATTTAAATAATTATATTAATTGTAATTTTTTAATATGGATCGGTTCTAATTTTTTAAGATATTCTCGGATACAAGGTATTTTAAAAAAAATTGTGTAACGTTGTCCCACTTTTAGCTAACGTTGTTTGAATGTCGATTTTTATGTAAAGGACCTAACCTTGTTTGAATGTATATTTTTATGTTAGAAAATAGGGATAGAACGATATCACTTTTTATTGCCGATACGATATATCGTATCGGCAAACATAATGCATGCCATCTATTTATACACGACCGAAGCAAAAATCGGGGTCCCGTTTTAATTCCGTTGCGAGGAAACGTGAGTGACATTTCGGATTTCTGGGAAGCCCCTTATACAGTGTGTATTAAAACGAATAGATACACTTAAATAAAACAAGTGCCAAACCCCGCCCACTGTGGTAGGGATTGAGAATTTATAGGTTTTATTTTTATCGAATTCGTTTGTTTTCTGCAAATAAAAACTAAGTATTGTTTAAAATCCATTAAATTCCAGTTAATGGCGAACATGTATTTCTTAAAAACTATACACATTTCCCTACGACAGTATTTCATTTATGCACTAAAGAGTGAAAAGCGCAATTTTTTTTGCCGATATATCGGCAATTATCTTGCCGATACGATACGATACCGATAATCGAAAACATTTGCCGATGTGCCGATATACCGATATCAATATCGGTATCGTTCTATCCCTTCTAATAGAAAAGTTTCCCAAATATATTGCCAATATCGTTGTTTTTACGTATTTAACCATACTTTTGCAAAACATTATCTTCCCACGCAAATCCTACTTTTAAACAGTTTTCAAAAACATATTGTTTGCACTCAAGTTTTTTTTTTCACAAATAAAACAAAAATACTCCAAACATAATATATAATTTATATAATTTAAGTCCGAAAACATATTTTTTGTGCTAAAAATTTTAATAAATAAAAGTATTTAAAAAAAAGTAAAAATAAACCGAAACATTTATTATTTAACGTTAGGTTTGTAACAATAAATTATACAAATTGGTAACGTTAGATAATAGTATGTTTTTGTGTTACTTACTAACGTTAGGTTTCTAACAATAAAAAATACAAATTTCTAAAGTTAGATTTCCTTTAGAAACAAAACATTATACAAATTGCCAAAGTTAGTAATTTGTTGTGAAAACGTTATTTTCTAGCAGGGATTGTTTTGTATATTAATATAAGTGGCCATTTAAACATCTTTAACTTACCTCATCAATAATTTTATGAGCAAACGTTGCTGGCTTAGCTTCTCCATTAAAAGCAAATTGATTTTCTGATTTACCATCTGGTATTTTATATATTTTAAACCATTCAACAGAAGCCTTTAATAAACCAGGGAAATATTTTTCAACATCCGCAACATCATTTACTTGGTCAGCAATGGGGTCGTTTATATCAATTGCAATAAGCTTCCAATCAGTTTCCCCTAAAAAATTGTAATTTTTAAAAATTGTTTAATTCCTACACAATCCACATTGTGTGTATTGTGGATTTTTATTGGTTCTATGATTATGACTATACAGGGTATCCCGAAAATAGCCCCTTAAAGGTTACCACGCTGTGGTACAAAGTACAAAAAATAAAGGTTTAAAATTTTTAAGTAGGTAGGTATTTATTTTTTTAACGAATTTCAACCTTAAAATAAAATTTCATATCTAACTTTAAGCGATTTTAAATTCGACATATGTTTAAAAATTTAGTCAATGACTAATTGAGGAGCGATCAGACAAAACGAGACAAATCCATTTTAGCGATTTTCAGAAATAAGTCAAAAGCAAAAGAAGGTTTGTGCGTTGTAAGAGATCCAGGAAAAAACATAATTTTGCAAAAAAATACCTAACCCGCTAAACACTTATTTTTAATTTTATCTGGTATCAAATTACATTTCAAGAAAAAAAACATTAGCTCACGGCACACGTAATGCTAATTTTAGTCAAAATGAGCTTACATATCTAAATGATTTTTTAACTGTTTTTATATAGTCTAAAATAGTAACTTATTTATATATATTACCTTCATCAATTAAAGCTATGGTACCCAATACTTTAACTTGTAAAACTTCCCCCCTTTTTGCCACTCTAGATCCAATTTCCAAAACATCAATTGGGTCATTATCTCCTTTACATCCTGTACCATCATCTAAATGTTCAGGATTTTCCCATGTTTGAGGAAGAGCTCCATAGTTCCAAATGTAACCATGGTGGGGAAAGCAATTGGCTACAAATCTTGGCTTGCCTTTTTTAACATCTTGTTTAATTGGATTTAATATTTCTTTTAATGTTATCTAAAATTAGATAAAATGTTTGACTGTAGTTATAACTTTAATTGGTATGTTTTTATGCGCTTTCCGTATTTTAAATTTCACTTATTTTATTATCAATTTTGCTCATTTATAGGGGTATACATTTTTAAAGTTAAGTTTGTAATTAAATTAAATTGTATGCCTTTTATTTTGTTATACCAATGATTCTATTTATTTGTATTTGTTTATTTTTATAATTAATTTAAGTCAATAAAATAAACTATTGAAACAAAAATTATTTATTAAAAAAATATTTACCTCCATTTTTGCATTGGTCCACCTAGGAATTTCTACAACCATATTAAATATTTTTTTATTGCAATCAACCACAAGGGGTATGTCATGCAGTGGAGATACTGGACCATTTTGATCATCTGTAAAACAAAATAATACCTAAATATTTTTTTGTTTACTTGCCTGACAACTTAAGCATAATAGATAAAAAATAAAAATTATCTCGAAAAGGCCACATTTCACCCATAACATTTTTTTTTCAATACGTTAATATCCGAGCACACAATAAAGTGTATTTAATATTTCGTATAATTAAAATTATCCAAAATATTAAATATTGTGTACTCTAATAAAAGCAAAAACGTTCAGTAGCATAAATGGTTGTTATGGAAAGATGTTTTAATAAATTTTCTTTTTGTTAAAAATTTAACACCTATCCATAACTGTTTGTAAAGGTAATGATTTACGTAAATATTAAATAAACATAAGTTTAAATATCTTGAAATCAATTAAAATCAAGTTAAAATGATATTTACCTATTTACATATGTAATACATATGTAACTACATTGTAACGTAACATTAACCAAAATGTTATGTAACGATTGTGATGTGTAACATTACAGTTACATAACCTGATGGTTGCAAATAGGTTCCTATTTTCCACTCATAGGAGTAACATTGTTACATAACAATGTTACATTGCCTTTATGAAAATGAAACAACTGTAATGTAACATTAACCAAAATGTTATGCAACGATCATAATATGTAACATTATTTTATTTTATTATTTTAATGTGCTTTCAACAGGCACCAGGCCTAATTACAGAAGTACACAATGACAAACACAAATAAACAGTGGGATTCAAACCCACGACCTCTCGGCTTGTAGTCCGCAGTGCTACACCACTGCGGTAAAAGTTACATAACCTGACGGTTGCAAATAGGTTACTATTTCCAGCTTTTTTAAGTAACATTGTTACTATTATATTTTAATGGATTACAATGTTACATTGCCGTTATGAAAGTGAAACATAACTGTAACGTAAATGTTATGCAACAATCGTAATATGTAACATTACAGTTACATAACCTGATGGCTGCAAATAGGTAACAATGTTACGTTGCCGTTACTTTTTCGCAATCCAAGTTATGTTACATAACATGGCCTTTACGGTTATATAACACTGTTACATTGCAACGATATTATGCTCGACATGAGAAAGTCCCGCCAGTTTAACGCTAAAGCGTATCAAATAATACATAGTTCTGACTTTCCCATAATCAGGCAGACTGTTTGAGGTCCAATGACAAATGGACATGGTCTTAACTTAGTTTATATACCTAGCCGAGGTGGTAACACGAGCGAGATGTAAATGATGTGTATAAGTATAAGTTTGTTACGTAACATACATGTAACTGTTACGTAACAAACTTATTACAATAGTATTGCAATGTTACGTTGCTGTTATATTGCTTATTGGTAATTTTCTTATATTACAATAGTTTTACAATGTTACGTTATTGTTATATTGCTTATTGGTATTTCTGTTACATTACAACAGTTTCACAATGTTACGTTAATGTTATATTGCTTATTGGTAATTTTGTTATATTACAATAGTTTCACAATGTTACGGTATTGTTATATTGCTTATTGGTAATTTTGTTATATTACAATAGTTTCACAAGGTTACATTGTTGTTACATTGCTTATTGGTAATTTTGTTACATTACAATAGTATCGCAATGTTACGTTATTGTTATATTGCCTATTGGTTAACTTGGAACGGTAACAATGTTACCATTATTTTAGGTAACTGTTGCGTTGCATTTTAGTAACATCGTTACATTGCAATGTGACTCCTATTTTACATAACGGCAATACTATGTTACGTTAAATGTTGACCGGGTAGGGTGTTCAATGCAATAAAACAGTCTAGTGTCACATTCACAGTCTGTGCATGTGACACTAGACTGTTAAAAATATCAACTATTTTTTTTCTATATGTGTACTTATCAAAAATATTTTTAGTGTCAAAAAAATAATCCTGTTAAAATTTAAGCTCTTAATATTAATACTCGTCGATGAAAGAGAATATCTCTATTTATAATTTAAACATTACTAAACATGGTTTATGAAATAATAGTATATTATGTATCAAGTTTTATAAACGCTAATTTAGTTACAAATTTTATTAGGCACGAGGGAAGCTTGCGAGCGAGTGTTTAATAAAAACGAGTGTCTAGAGAACTTTATAAAACGAGTTGCATACTATACTTTATCTACGACGAATACAAAGAAGAATTTAAATTAATTTGTTAAACATTTGACATATGTCAACTTTTAACGGATTTAACCTCACTTTTTCCTAATTTATATTAAAGCCAACTTCAGCCCGTGACTAAAATGCCCAAAAGCCACTGTATTTAACTTCAACCCGTGACTAAAACGCAATAAATTCACAGCTTGTCAATTTAGGAGTAGATAAAAATGTTTATGTACGCATATATATCCATAAATGCCTACTGAAAAAACTAGACGCAAATTAATTAATTAATAGTTCAATTCTACTAAACTGCGCACCACTCAATGTGTCGCGACCAAAAAGTTTGTTCTTTTTCAAAACGACATAACTTTTTTGTTTCTTGAACGATTTAATTTTGGTTTGTGATGTCTGCTAGCCTCATCCTCTGGCAATTTATGCTATAGATATGAAGCTCACGGTTGGTCAAGTAAACTTCCTACAGGGTGATATGTTAAACGGTGAAAAATTTCAATAACTTTATCCAAGCCCCGTTTGTAAAAAAATAATTTTTTTTTCGTTTTTACTTTGAAATAATGAAGTATTATGCATTTAATTTTGGACACTTGCTATTTTCCATAATAACTTAAAATCACTTATCTGAGCTACAGGGAATTTGTATCGCACGACGCTAATAGCAACAAAACGTGAATGATTAAAGTATGCTGTTTTTTGGGTTAATTTCTTATGTACTTTTTTTCTTCTAGTCGATAAATACTATTCCGCTACAGAGAGAGAAACAATACACAGTTAATGCGAAAACATTAACTGATTTCAAAAAATAATAAATATATTTAAAGACATTTAAACGGGAAAAATAATTAATAGGTAATACGTAAAAACCTTTCCAAACTTTATTCCGCATTTATAGATTTTATAATATTATGTCTTTTGATGTGTTGAAAATAATAAATGTATGCATCGAATGTATGCAACCCAGCATACCTCAAGTAAATAAAATATAATTATAATTTTAAAACCCATATTTGAACATACTTCCCCCCTATGAAAGGATTAATATTCTTTTATTATTACTAACTACATACTAAACTATGACTAAACTATTACTATTGCTCTGTAGAATCTACAGGTAATAAACAAAGCTTCACCAAGGGACGTTTCATGGTACCTTGAGTGGTGCGAATGGTGGGCACTCTTGTTATTCCGTCGCACCCCTTGTGCAACTCAACAACCCTAGCGAGAACCCATTTGGTAGGTGGAATGTTATCTTGTTTAACGCTTACTAGAGCACCCTCTTTCAATATTTCATGGGAGTAATGCCATTTTTGAAGCTGCTGAAGAGTCTGAAGATACTCAATATGCCAACGTCGCCATAGAAAGGCGATTTGTAGGACCATTACCAAAATCTTCGTCCGGAGGAGCCGAAACCGGTTCCATATTTAGAAAATGGTTTGGTGTGAGGGCCGAAAGATCATTGGGATCAGCACTGAACGCCGTCAAACGACGCGAATTTAGGACAGCTTCAACCTGGACAAGAAGAGTAGTCATCTCTAAGGATTTGCTCGCCTATCACACGAATCAAGTGAGTCTGTACAGACTTAATGGACGCTTCCCAAAGTCCTCCCATGTGAGGTGCTAAAGGGGGATTAAAGTGCCATTTAATGGTAAGGGTATCGCAGGCGCTCTTTAATAATGCAAATAAATTGTTGGCTCCTACAAAATTAGTTCCACAATCACTGTGGATGTCTGATACTCGTCCTCTGCGAGACACAAATCTACGAAGAGCTGCAACAAATGCCTCCGTAGAGAGACTAGAAACAAGTTCAAGGTGTACTGCCTTCGTGGCAAAGCACACAAAAAAACAAATATAAGATTTAAGAGATTTGGCTCGTCGGTAACGCCCCATGGTAACCTTGAATGGACCACCCATGTCAACTCCACAACGTGCAAAAGCCTTTATTTGAGAAACCCTATAAGAAGGAAGATCTCCCATTCGATGTAAAAGAGGTTTCGTGTTGGCCCTAAAACATTTGAAACATGTGGACAAACAGCGATAAATTGCTCGTTTTGCGCCAAGAATCCAGAACTGTTGTCCAATGAGGTGATGAAGAGTTTGTGGTCCAGGATGAAGAAATCTTTCATGAAAACTACGAATTATAAGGTCATTAATAGGGTGTTCCTTGGGCAAAAGTATAGGAAAATTTTCTTCGAAGGTCAGTTGCGAATGTCTTAGACGACCACCAACACGTAATAACCCAGTTTCGCCGAGAAATGGAGCCAATTTACTTACTACCTTCTTTGTTACGTTTTATGAGTGAAATTTCTTCGGAAAAGGAAGTAGACTGCACGAATTTGACTAGCGTAATGGTAGCAACATGCAACTCCTCTTCATTAGGGACACCATAATGGGTGGGTTTTTTTCGACACCAATTTATATAACCTAACACGTAGCAAACGGTACCTTGGATTTTCCGTAGTGAAGAAAACCGTTCGAAAAGACCTTCCCAGAGATTAATTTCTGTAGGCACTATTGCCGGTTTGGCAACTTCCATAAAATTCCAATGCAAGTGAACAGTGGAAAGAGTTGAAAAAATTAAACATAACTAAAAGTGTAAATATTCCTAATGAGTTCAAAAATGTAAACACATTTTTGATCATTACAAAGAACTGTTTACTACCAAAGAGCCAAGTAATAATATTATAAATTTTTATACGTCACAAAGAAAACAGCCGTTTACAGAACTATTTAAATTTAATTTGGTTGATGAGTATATGTAAGTAACACCTTATTCAACATAAAAAGTAAAGCTTATGGCGCAGATAACTTAAATATTGATTTAATTTTGCTTTGTTGTCCACAAATCATCCCTGT